AGCTATATTAGTAATATAGTTGTAGCACGAATGGGTCGGCTCGACCGGGGAAGTACCACGCTCTAACAGAATACCAGCGTAAAGTAGCAGCTCAACGCTGCTGTGTTGGTATTGGTATGGTACGTGTAGAGAACCGGAGATACATTTTACTGGAAATGGGGCATTCTATCTTAGTCCTTACGGGTAACAACGCATCTGCATTTTGATTCGTAATTGAGGATAGATGTAGATGTCTATGGGCCACAGCAAGCACTTACTATCATGTAGACTGTGTGCTCGTTTGTCACCCTTATCCTATAAAAAATTGCGTTGCCACGACCATTGCGATCTGGATCATTTGGTAAAAGTTTGTTTAACTTTGGCACTTGTTTAAAGGTTTTGACTTCTAAACTTTCGGTTTAGGTAGTTTTTTGGCCGAATGTGGCCGAGCCGAAGCCAAAGCCAAAGTTTGTATCGGACAGTAACAAAGTACTTAAAATTACAGGTGATAATTGTAGTAACTGGCTGTTATAAGAATTAGAAAAATTTCTAAATATAACTATTTAAAACTTATTTAAACAAAAGGGTTGAAAATGGTATTGGATATTTTTAGTATGAAATAAAATATTAACGATTTCTAAAATCGACTCAATAGTTTACTTTGTGCTACAATAAGTGCCATACTCTCAAACAAACATTGATTTATCTCAATACAGGGGATTCACTCCACGCCCGCCTTCCCGCTCTGACTTCCAATTTCCTTCAGAGAAACTTTTTATGTCTCCTATACAATTTCCTTTTTTATGTCTTTCTTCTTTGTCTTTACTACGTATATATGTATATATATATATATATATATATATATATATATATATATATATATATATATAATTTACGACATTATTTATAAGACACAGTCATATTATTCTTTTTTTTTTCTATTTTCGTCAAGGTATTCGAGTAATGGGAATGAATGAGTTGCATGGTGTAACTTTGTTGCAAAATTTTGTAGGTACGTGGGTGACACAAAGTTCTTAGAAAATCAAAAACTGAACAAACTAGCAAGTTATTAGTTTTATTATATCTTTTCAAAATAGTGGCCATTTATATCTATACATCGCTGTATCCGATGGAAGCACTGAGAAAAGCACTTTGCCCACTCGTGCTTAGGGGTCGCGGCATTTTGAAGCGCAGCCACTGCTTCCTCAGCGTCCATGAAACATTTTCCTTGAACGTTTTCTTTTATTTTCAGAAATAAATAAAAATCGCAAGGTGCGAGGTCGGGGCTATAGGGCGGGTAACCCAGTATTCCAAGTCTTACGTCGCCAAGTAGCCGATTGTTTGCTTGGCGGTGTACGATGAGGCGTTGTGGTGAAGGAGGATCCTACTGCGAATTCGTTTCTCCCGAACTTTTTTCGAGATAAATGGCAAACAATTGTTAGTGTACCACTCTGCAGTAACTGTTTATCGATCCCTAAAACAATTGTTGCGTAATGACCTATCCTTCCGAAGATCAAGGCCACCATCTTTTTTTCCACGCATCGACCTCTCTTCACTTTAGTTGGCAACTCCTTGGAAGAAAACACCCAGACAGCAGACTGTCTCTTAGTTTCAGGACCTTAACAATAAATCCAGCTTTCGTCATCCGTAAGTATGTCGAACACAGCATTTGAGTCACCTCCGTTAAATCATTGAACCATTTCACGATACCAATCAACACAACGGAGTTCTTGGGCCTCTGTCAAATTATGAGGTATTCACCGGGCACAAATCTTCCTGATCGCTAAATGTTCATGGAGAATTTTATGCACTTAACTCATACCGATGCCTGACCTTGTCCTAATCTGCTGATAAGTCATTCTTTTGTCAGTCTCTATCATACGCCGCACAACACTGATGTTATCTTCAGCCGTCGCCGTAGAAGGCCGTCCCTCACGCAGATCATCGGTGAGATTAGTGCGACTATGTTTAAACTCATTAAACCAGTTGTAAACAGTGGGACGAGATGGAGCTTCATCGTGAAAGACCAATCGAAGTCTATCATAAGTCATAACTTTCTTGTTGACTTAAATGACATCGAAAGTCATGTAAAATCATTGTACGAAAATTTTCTCGTGTTAAATCCATGCTGATGTGACACAGACAATTTTCAATTTGCCGTCTAATTACAAACAAATGACAAAAAACATACACAATAATATTGGCAAAGACTTCCATTTTCAAAATTTGAACCTATTTTCTTATCATATCGTTTACAAGTTGCCAGTTCTAAAAACTTTCAGTGTCGCCCGCATACATATTTTATAACTATATAATATAGAGCCTATAATACGTCCCACTGCTATGTAAAGGCGTTTCATTTCTGAGAGGGTTTAAGAATAAGGAAGTATACTCCGCGGTGTCTTCGAATTTTTTTTAATTTCTCAGACATGCACGTTTCTTCACAATACCTTTTCCACCGTAAGAGTTTTTTTTTATATATATATATATATATATATATATATATATATATATATATATATATATATATATATATTAGCATAAGGACAATACAAAAACATTTTTAAGCGTTTAGATTGCGACTCTATGTCGTAAAGCCGTAACATTGTTATAAAAACATTTTTAGCTTTTCTCCTAAGAATTAACGTAATATTAGCATGCCTGAGCATAACAGCCTTTTTAGAGGTCACTGCTGGATCACCTTATCATCCTATGCGCTTAAATTATTCATTACGTTGTGAAAAATTCGTATTTCCATTATATCGGTAGTCAAAGAACGTATTAAGCTACTAAAGAATTTGTATAAATAGATATTGTTATCGCCGATAACTTAAATTCCAAGATAAATCATGTGACAAATAAATCAGTAAGTACTTAAGTGCCTAGCAGTTATGATTACAAAATAGATTGGTATTTCATAAACACTCACGCCTGTCACCCAGAGCGGTAGGTAGTGACTACGGACTTCCATTTGGTACGATCCCGACACAACTCTCTTGCCTCCTTTACATTTATATAACTACGCATACATGCTCGTCGGTTAAGGTTAAGTTAGTCTAGCCCATCTTTAACCCTTAATTTGGCAAGGCAATTTATTTTTAATTTTTATAGAAATTTCGACAAATATCAATTAAGTAACTTATTTAGCATCCTAAAAAAATATTAAAAAAAATGAATCTTGTAGTTTTCTGAAAATCCTCCGTATTTAGCAGGATACACTGCCAAATACGGACATAATGATATGCAACTGACAGTGTATCTGCAGAGATACATTGCCAAAATTAGGTTCTGAAAGAAAAATAAAACAAATCGAGGAAAATGTTTAATTTTCAATATGGAAATCGAAAAAACAGTTTCTGGCTTTAGTCAGACATAACCTTGTTCTACATTTTGAGCATTTTGCTAGTTTGACCCGTTTTACAAAGGCGACAACGACCTTTCTCCTCGAAAATTGGCAGTGATCTGCTCATCATACCTTGTGTCATCGAATGGTCGAGGAACTACAGGTTTTTTTATTTTTTTTTGGTTACAATACGGAACATCATGGTGCTCTATCGGTTTGGATGCCAATGAAAAAAAAATTTGACATCGAAATTCTTTGAGTGACATGGTTTTCTTGAGATTTTTCTGGGCACAATATCTTCGATATAGAATCCATCCGTTATTTACGCTGATATCTAGCATCTGAGCAAAAATGCCCATATACCACCTGCGACTTTTCATTTGGGTCCTATAAAGGGCTATCAACATGTCTGCCAAGTCAACACCTCCCATATGCATGTTATAAAATTTTACAACCTGCGGACAATCTACATTCGTCCGCGTTTTCAGTTCTTTGGAATATCTATTTACTTTCCTAACTGGATATGTGTCAGCAAATGAACAGGCCAAGGTAACAGGCTTATTATCTAACCACTTTACGACCGAAACTTTATTGCGATTACAAACTATCTGCGAAAATGATTCCCGACCTTTTCTTTTTAGCATTTTATCTGTATCCAATTTCTCTTGATATCCTCGCAAGCGGTCAGCCTTTACAGTACCAAGGCTGAATATTCCCAGCTCATTTCTCAAATACACTACTAACTCGATAGATGTGTAATAGTTATCGAAATATACAAAACATGGCCTTTTTTTTAATCGATTGACAGAGAGCCACTACTACTTTACCTCCAAACCCTAACGAATGTTCCTTTGAGCTGAATTGTATACTACGGAAGGTATCGTCACCCCCGTATAAAAGGAAGTCGTAAACATATCCAGACACTCCACTTCGTACAAAAGCTTTGAAACCCCACTTCTTTGGTTTTTTTGCATTTTATTGACGCCTGTTGCCAGCCTTTTTACCTTTGTAAGGAAGAGTCATCTCGTCAATGCTAAATCTGTCCTCTTCTTCAGCAACGCGTAAGCAGTTTTGTCTTACAATTTCAACTACAGGTCGAACCTTTTGGTATCTATCCGTACTCGGTTCATTATTATCAGCGAAGTGAATAAATCGCCGGATTAGCTGATATTTCTTCAAAGGCATAATGTCTGCAATTGGCGGATACCTCAATCGCGAACTCCAGTAATCTAAATAACACGGAATTCTTACAACCCCCATAAGAATGTGAATAACCACAAAATTTTCAATGTCTGGCTTCGTTATGTTAGCAGAGCGACCTGTTTTTTCCACAGAATACATATTACTTTGATTTACAATTTCAGTAATGATTTCATCGGAGAAAAACAGTGCAAAGTACCTTCGTGGAGAAACGTCTTCAGGAGGTGGATCTGTAAATACAACTGGTTCTATGGAAGCACTGTGGGAAAAGCGTGTTTTTTCCAGTGGAAATTTAATTGTAGTCGTTTTGCTCTTTTTACTAGAAGTCGGGGTTGCATGTCTCGTCCGCGCTTTCTAGATCTCGTGCATATTTGACCACGTGATGTAGATGGAGTAACTGGCACAGGTAAAGCCGGTGACGGCAATAATGGAATCAAACTTATAGAAGGTAAAGAATTGTAATCAATTTTGTCACTAGAAGGAAATACAGCATTCAATACAGGAGAAAGCGCTACATTAAGGATCGAAGGCGAATCGGATCGATCGTTAGTCACAGAAAGTGACGCAGCTGGTGTTGCAGAAGAGGGATCTTCGTCATCGCTGTCAAGTATATTCATTCGTTCGAGTGACGAATCTATGGAAGGCGGAGAAGAACTGAACCAGTCTTCATCTGGAGGTTGGAAGAACTCCTCTTCTTCATCGTCTGACAGCTCACTACCATCAGACTGTGCATTTCTTTCAGGTAATAGTGCAAAAATGCGGTTACACCTAGCCCGTTGAAGTATCTATGGACAATAAAATAAAAAACATATGCAACCAAAAACCAAACCCAAGCAAAAATAAAACAAAAGACACCATAACACGAAAGTACTACATAAAACATCAGGCAAATTCATAAATCAGATATTAATCTTAGATTTGGCGGGGCGGGGGTTACTCACACAGCCATAAAATATAGTATTATGTATTAGTATTAGTATATAATATAACTTCAAACGTCAAGCATTGTTTTACTAAGTTTTGACGGTGTATCCCCTCAGATACAGTATTATGTTACACAACTTAGCCGGGTTTTTGGCAATGTATCTGTGTGGATACAATTAGGTTAGAATACATACTAAGGCCTAGAAAACACATTTCAAGACAAGATTTTTATCGAAATCATTAGTTTAGTTCAATACAAAAACATTGCAACGAATATTTCGTGTCAAAAACTATAAAAATACAGATAAAATCGATATTACTTACAGATGGGTTGCTCCCATGACGTGACATCTTCGCAGAATGACATAACTAGGGATGGGAATGAGTCGAAAATGCAGTTTATAGTTTTTATAGTGTTGTTACTTAATCCATCTTTAAGATAAAATCGATCGATTTCAAATAAAATGTTTATATATCGCTGAAGATTTTTTTTAAATGATTGTATCTTACAGTACACATTACCAAATTAAGGGTTAATATATCGCCAATTTGGTGGATAAAATTTCGTCTAGGATGTCACTTTCCGACTCTGCTTTTCACTTCTGCAACATAAATTGGTTTTGTCACTCTTCCTTCGTTCATTCTTTCTATATTACCAAACCACTGAACCATTTCTTTCTTAGTTCTGGTCAGAACATCATCTTGCTTACCATACTTTTCATTTATCGCACAATTTATTACCCTATCATCCAGATTAAGCCATAATATACTCCTTGATGATTGTATTTCAATATTGCATATTTGATATTTTGCAAATTTATCTGCCACGATTAATTTAATAACCGGTATTAAAGTCAGCGCTAAATGTCTTAAATACTGCTTGATTAATTATTGTTTTTTATCGATAAATTATATAACTATGTGTGTGTATAAAATGTTCTGTTACTTGATTCAACATCTACCAAAATACGTTTAGTAGAAGTAGGAGCTTTTTAATTTATTTATTAGCAGATTATTTTTAAATTATATTCAACTTATACCCATAACTAATAAGCCAGTTTTATATTAATTTTCGGTCCATTCTGAAAAAACTGAAGGTAGCCGGGCCTATGACATTGGGACGTCAAACATCTGTCCCCCGTGACCATGGGTGCTGTAAAGCACCCGAAACGTCGGGAATTAAAAAATTAAAGGCGATAGAATCTGTATAATATATAGTTTTATTGTGTAGTGTTCGCGTAAATTTAATAAATCATTAAATAAATCTACTAATTTTATTACATATTTCCGAAAGTTTTGTGGATCAAATATTTCTATCTAGACAACGGTGTATATACTATTTATCTATTTCTATGGAATTTGGTATATTTTTTTATAGAATAACGGTAACATACGAGCACACAGTCCACCGAATGGTAAGTGGATGCTGTGGCCCGTAGACATCCACATTTATTCTCAATTAAGAATCAAAATGCAAATGTGTTGTAACCCCTGAGGACTAAGATGGAATGCCTCGTTTCCAGTTAAAAGGGTCTCCAGTTCTCTCCACTCACCATACGAAACACAGCAGCATTAAGCTGCTAATTTACGCTGGTAATCCGTGAGGGCGTGGTCCTGCTCCCGTCTAGCCAACCCATTCGTTCTACATCTTTAATATAGCTGCAGCGTACCATATGACAAAAGCCCCCAGACGAAAGCAACCCGTGCTAGGCCACTGCTATCTCTAACAATGATGAGTATAGTATCCGTTAATAATAATGAGTACTATAATATCTTCTGTCTAGTTCAAAGTATTACATTGTCAGGGAAGACATCGTTAGATAAAATTGCACACCTATTTTGCTACGAATAAACAATGTGCAACTTACAACAGATCGGCGCGGCGTCAGGGACCCGAGCGCCTGCACCCAGGGGAACAATCTGGGAACAATATTGATTTAACATTGTAACCGGATTGCGGACGATACCTCGAGTTTATCGCATATCATAACATCAATATTGGTTAGGTACACCATTTCAACAGTACAAAACTATACTAATCTTTCCAGTCCTAATCTTTAATTGATGGATTAACACAAGGGCATACTTTTGCCTTAACAACCTTGAATAAAAAAATCCTTTCAGTCAAAAAGGTATGTACTTACGAGTACAGTCAAATTAAGTTACTTTGGATAATTTTTTATAATTTTCGCGTTCACAGACATAAAATTTTATGAAATGTATTTGTGGTTTAGTTATTTATTTGTGTTTTTTTTAAATTAGTTTACTGGTGATTTACTGGTATCATTTACCAATTATCATGCTCTGAATTAAAATATGGTTATTACGCCAATTCAGAGTTACCACGGATTTTGGCTATCCTTGAAAGAAAATTAGTTTTGAACATTTAAGTAACATTAAAAAGATTATATACTACGTGGTATAGATATGCTGCTGCTCTAGTATGGTTGTAGCACGAATGGGTCGGCTCGACTGGGCAAGGACCACGCTCTCACAGAATACCAGCGTAAAATGGCAGCCTAATGCCGCTGTGTTTCATATGGTGAGTGAAGAGAACCGGAAAATTCTTTTTTGTAGGAGAGGGGGCAAACGAGCTTACGGCTCACCTGATGGTAAGTGATTGCCGCCGGCCATGAACAACTGCAACACCAGGGGAATCGCAGATGCGTTGCCGGCCTTTTAAAAAGGAGTCGGCTTTTTTCGTGGAGGTCCCTAAGTCGTATCGGTCCGGAAAAATCTCTGATGCTAGTCGATTCCACAGGGAAGTTGTGCGAGGAAGAAAAGTTCTTTGTAAAAGTACAGTGGTGGACCGCCAGTCATCCAGATGGTATGGATGGTATCGCGAGTTTTGTCGCGATGTGCAATGGTGAAATTGTGCGGCTGGAATTAGTCCAAACAATTTCTCAGAGCACTCCCTTTTTACTGGAAACAAGGCATTCCGTCTTAGTTCTCAGTTCTTAATAGAGGATAGATTTAGATGTCAATTCGCCATAGCATCCATTTACTATCAGATGGACTGTGGGCTTGTTTGTCTATTAAAATATGAGTCGTAATTAAAACAAAAATTGTTAAATAGTTAATAGAATTTTTTTATTCAAAGTTACATTGAAAGGCAAAATTACCCAAATTGACTTAAAATCGTCAATAAAGAAAAAAGTCTACAAAGAAAAAATAATTCTTTGTCAATGGAAATGCGAAACATTTGAAGTTAACGCGTATCTCCGCCCCCACAACTGCGCTTGACGGGTAATAGGCAAACGTAATACAATAAACAAGCATTGTGTTGAACTCTATTCACCAATTACTGCTAACTAGATACAGTCAGATATAATTTTGTGTTAGGGCGGACACTGACAGTGCCGTTTTGTTTTTCTTTTTTTGTTTATGGCCAGAAAATAAATAAAAAAGATGTAATTAATAAAAAAGAAGTTCAGATGCATGCTTTCACGATTAGTGGTCATATTTTTCTATTTTGAGAAATTGTTTCCTCGCGGTTGTAATATATATAGTTTTTCGGGTTTACAGGTTTTTCGGCAATCGGCCTCTTTGGTTATCTGTGAATTACAGGTGTGCACTGTTAGATTTTTATAGAAATCCTATATATAATGTAAGCTTGTTTGTCACCGTAAAAGTGTATATGAACTTATTAATTCAATTATAATAATAACCATCTTCATTATAGTTTACATTACATTTATGTTTAATCTTATACTATTATTTATTCTGTGGTTAAATAAAAATATATTTAGTAACCTTAATTATAGAGTACTCTGTTTTTTTGTAAGCAGTTAAATTCATGATTTGATCATTTTCTTTTATATAGGATCTTATTTTTTATGAAAAATTCCTTTATAAAAATGGTAATACGAGTTCCGAGAATAGTTGTTTGATTTGAAAATGCCATTAAATGCGTTACATACAATTTTGAATTAATGATATTCACTAAAACAACCAAGATTAAAAAAAAAATCTGCTACTTTGCGAACAGAACCACGCGCTAATGCTAGTAAGCTATACAGTTGCTTCATCTCTATAGAATCCTATTAGATCGCGTGACGAGTGGCGGTCACCAATCTATTAATTGATTCATCATATTAATACCAACAGTCGTTGAAAACCTCTCTTACGTCTTATCTCCAACGACATAAGGTCGTCTATCGAATAACGTTGAGAATAATATATTCTGGTTTATTAACACGAACCCCTGGTATAGTAGAGTGGAAACGATATTAAAGTGAAAGGGTGCGATTTGCTTGAATAGTTATTTTATTAGCTTTATTGAGATTAAATGTTTCACTACTTAACGATACTTGTTCGGACCGGAGATGTATTGATTTTTAGTAGGTTGACAAACGACTCAGGGCAAACAAGCAAGCACGTTTGCACGTGGTAGAGTCATACTGTAGCTGTCTTATGGCTGTAGCACGAACACCGCACGAGCACTGGGGACAGACTACGCTCTTACAGAATATCTGCGTAAAATAGCACCTCAATGCTGCTGTGTTTCAAATAACAAGTGTAGAGAACCGGAGACCCCTTATACTGGATACGAATCATTTCATCTAATCCTCAGGTGGACAATGCATGCGTGGTAGAGCTACGCTGCAGCTATATTATAGTTGTAGCACGAATGGGTCGGCTCGCCCGGTGAAGGAGCACGCTCTCACAGAATACCAGCGTAAAATAGCAGCTTAATACTGCTGTGTTTCGTGTTGTGAGTGTAGAGATTCGAACACTGTTTTTATGGGAAAGAGGATAAATGTAGAGGTCTATGGGCCACAGAATCCATTTACCATCAGGTGGGTTGTGTGCTCGTTTGTCACCCTTATATATATATATATATATATACACATATATGTCATATACTTCATACTAATTTTTGTTTTAGCAGAAGAAAGCACATCACCATTGCGATGGTCACCACCGACGTCAGCGGCGCTGGTGGCAGCCGCTTTGGCACCACCGGCGCTTCGACCCTGGCTACCAGAGCCGCCTACAAAGAAGGCGAATCACTTGGGTAAGACAGGTTGGCATCATCACTGATAAAGATGTAACCAATTGTTTGTAATACTTTAGTTTTGATTTGGTTAATTCATTTATTTCATAGTTTAGTTTATGTACACTATTGTGATGCTTTCACTAACTTCTGATTGATAAATTTAGACTATTTTTAAAACTAACAGTCACTAATTAGTCACTAAATCTTGAGACATATTTGACAGCGAAAGACATAGGCGTTCTGGAATTATTCTATGATGTAGTATAATTTTCAAGCCAGAATCTTCGTTAAGTCATACTAGTATGAATTTCTTCAGTTCTGTTGGAGCAATATGTTTCAATCTCGGTATATGAAAGTCACCAATTAGTCACTAAATCTTAAAATAGGAAACACATCTCAAAGGTAGAGAGTAATGACGTTTTTGAAGAGAGGCTGCTAGCTTGAATTTAAGCTAGAATCTTCCCAAAAAAGGGCTATACCTTCTAAAATATTAAATCACTAATTTATAATCTTAATTCGCTGATTGTCACAAACTCCTCACAAAATTTTGACAGTGGTCAGTAGACAAGTAGTGAAGTTAAAAATTGCTAATCTTTACTTAATTAAAAATATCCAGACCGGCGACGGGAATCATTATTAAAGGTGCGAGACGTCGCTTTTCTCTTTTTCATCTTTAAAAAAATATGTTACCTCCGCACTAGGATTTTCTCCTGTATCGTGGGGGCAGTTTACATTCATTAATTTCACAAGGACAAACATCCAGACCCGGAGCAATTGTTTGTAGGCTACACAAACACTTGTTCCGTGCGGAATTCGAACCCGCGGCTCCTAGCGCTGCATCTCGTTGCTAAGCTACTGCGCCACGGAGACGGCTGGTGCTGCGATCGATTACGGTATATCCTCTTTATAATAGAATAGGCCCATTTCCAACAGTGGATATGGACTGATCAACTTATTTTCCATAGAATAAGAGTGATAAACGAGTATACACAGTCTACCTGATTTTAAGTGAATGCTGTGGACCATAGACATTTACATCTATCCTCGATTAAAAATCAAAACGCACATGCGTTGTCACCCCTGACGGCAAAAACCCCTGACCTCGTTTCCAGTTAATAGGCTCTTCGGTTCTCTACACTCACAATACGAAACACAGCAGCATAAAACTGCTGTTTTACAATGGTATTCTGTGTGAAGGTTTTAGTTTGGTTCATGTCATTTGTGCTTGTTCGACCAAAAAACTAGCTTGAAATGGCATAGCAGAAAAAAGCTGCAGTTCCGTATGGTGAGTAACGAGCACCATAGCTCCTTTTTACTGTTCACAAGACATTCCATCTTATGCCCCAGAAAATGCATTTAAATTTTCATTTTTAACCGATGTCTATGGACCACAACATCTAGAGAAAGAAAATTTGTCAACTCGCTTTGTAACAATACGACAGACTCTTAAAAATAACACTATGGGACTATAGGATTCCATTATGTACTCTACTTTAATGTATTCTACTCTAGTCAACTTTTCCTTCTCAGTTCAATCAGGCGTTACTTTGCGGAAATCCATTATAATAAAGATATAAATAGTTATTTTGCAACTATCCGCTAAATTATATATATATATATATATATATATATATATTCATTTATATATATATATATATATATATATATATATATATATATATATATATATATACATAATATGTATAATCATCCGCTAAATTATAATTATACGGATAGTTGCAAAATAACTATTTATATCTTTATTTCCTTTTTTTCTTTACAGCTATCGATTTCAGATAGTACAGTCGAACCCGAGTAAGTGAGAACTGGGTGAGCGAGAAAACTATATTTATTATCTAAGTATTTATCAGGTCCCGTCATTTTGCCCTCCTTAAACATCTATAAGTGAGAAGCATAAAACCTGCATAAGTCAAGCGACAGTTTAACAAACGCGTTTAACTTTTGCTACTTATGACTAATTTTTAAATTTCGAGGGACTCTTATTTAATTCAAACCAAATGTTTGCAAATGCGTCTGTTATTGTTTTGTTATGACATGAAAAGTTGACAAGCAAATGAAAAATAAACGAAAAAACCAACACTTGCAAAGGTATATTTTTGAGCTCGTGTAACCTCGTGCTAACCGAAATGACAGTGAAAATGAAGCCAGCTAATTACAAATTTAGGATAGAGAGGTGGAAGCAATTCCAACAAAACGAGAAGTTTTAAAGGCATTGGAGACGCTTCACAAATTTTATGAATATGCGGCGGTTGATCAAATCATATTTGATAAAATTTATGAACCAGAAAAACATACACAAAATTTAAAAACAGAATTGCAAAAGAAATTCACAGTTTTTTTTCAAGTTGTTATAATATTATCCTATACCTTTAAACGAGCAATTCTTGTATATATATACATTATCGGAATCTCGGAAACGGCTCCAACGATTTTTATAAAATTTTGTATCGGTGGGGTTTCGGGGGCTATAAATCGATCTAGCTAGGATTAATTTTTAGAAAATGTCATTTTGTCCGTGTTTTCAGGCAATGAAAAACTGCTACACTTTAACAAGGTAAATTTTAACAGTGTATTAACGATCGTAATAGCTCAAGTGGGATATCTGGCAGTCGCGAAATCGGAGTGCCCTAGTTTGCGTCCTGTCTCTGGTTCGACTTTTTTCCTTTTTTTTTCAAGTTCCTTTCTTTTTGTGAGAAAATCTATTATTTCGAGCCCTTTTATTTAGTATTTTTTAAATACGAAAATTTAAATTAAACTAATTGCACTCATGATTTTTTATTCAAATAACCAGTTCAGTTTTTTCCATTATGTCAATAAGATAAAAAAATATTATTCATGTTTAATCAGTATGTAATTTCAATATATCCAAATATAATTTTCAAAAAAAAAAAATACCGAGGAAAACTCGGTTATCCAGGTACCTTAGATTAAACCTTTATGTTCAGCTATTATTTTAATAAATATTTAATACCTATACATACACGTATTTTTTTCTAATTAGGTCATATTTATCGTATTTTTATAGACCTCTATAAGTGAGACTCCTTCTGTAGCTGTAAGCTAGAAACTCGGGTTGGTGAGAAACCTCTATAAGAGTTAAGGAGATCGCGGTTCTTTGAGCTCTCACTTATCCAGGTTTCACTGTATTATAATTACTCACGAAAAGGACTATTTGATGTAATGTTTTTTCTAGATGTCTGTATGTCTGTTTGTCACAGAGATTTTTGGTACATTTTAGTGGATTTTCTGAGATTATTTTATACAGATCAATGAGTTTAGCATGAATATAAAATCCGGCTACGCAAAAGGTTAACAATCCACAATTTTAGTTAAGCAATTAGCATAAAAGGGAAGTTAATTTTTTAAATCATAGTGTGAGATATCAAATTAAAGCTCTTTTTTGAAAATCCATGGTCTATAGTAGCCACGAACTACCTCTAGTGGACTGTTAGTTTATTGAACGCCTCGTAACACGAAGCGTTATTAGTTAGGGCTTTACTCTCGATACTTAAAGTTCAAGCAATTTTGTGTTCTTAAAATGCCTCTATCATAAACCATATTTCACTTATACGATAACATAAGTAGCCGTATATCAAGAAAACATTCTAATTAATCCATCTTACAATTTCCAAAAATCAGAATTAAACATACAGTCTATATCGATTTTATACTTTGTTTAATCGATTTATTTTGGTGAAAATTATTATTTTTTATCTGTAGGTGACATTACTTGGTAAAATAATAGAGCGCTAAAACACGTAAATAATACATTATTTTAAAAGTCAGGAATACAACTTATTTTTTCATCAAAATTAAATAAAACGCTCATGAGGCATGCACTTTTGGATTTTCCAAACATTTATCACTTTAGTTTGTTAATGTTATATCAAAATAAGATTACCAGTACTGTCATCTATTGTGTATTTCAAGAATAATCTCAGGTATATAGAGGTTACCCGTCCGTAATAAATTCACTCACTCTCTCTGTCACGGAAAAACGTTGTTTCATTTTGGGTTATGGACCCAGGCCTTAAGTAATTTTTTTTTAAATCTAGTAGTCTTTTTCGAATTAAAAGTAGTATAATATAATATTTACTGTTATTCAGTTACGACAATAAAGGTTTGCAAGTATGACAAGGCGAGGAAAACTACAGTGTTCTGTAATAAATTCCATCACTCGCCTTGTGTCATAGAAAAACGATTTTAATCATTTTAAAAATTAAAATAAAAAATCTGGGACTATTTAAAAAAGGGATTATTGTTGTATTTGGCTTTCTATTTTTATCAGGATTGGTGTGCGTCGTATGCGGCGATACCAGCTCAGGAAAACACTACGGGATCCTTGCCTGCAACGGCTGCAGCGGATTCTTCAAGCGGTCGGTTAGGCGGAAACTAATATACAGGTTAGTTAGTTATTGGCAATTTTTATTAAAAAAAAAATAAAAAAAGTTGTTGAGACAACCATGTTAGGTGACGTGCCATTGAATCTTTCGTTTGATCGTTTTAATACGCACAGCGAGGGATATCGTCAATGTTTTAACAACTTTGGCAGAATTGGATCGACATTTTCTTTAACGTATTAACTATCTACGTATCCTATTATACCTTAGTATTATGTGGGATCTTGGTCAAACTACCTATTATTTTATTGATAAAATATGGGCAAAAATTTGCGGGATGTCCCCAGGCTAAATGAAGATCGTGCTGCAGATTTTATTAAATTAACTGAATGCGTGAATATGGAATCGGAGTAAGTTTTTGTTTTTTAATAAAATTGTATATATTCAAATGTATCTTCAATTAAGAATCAAAATGGAGATGCATTTTCACCCCAGAGGACTAAGATAGAACGCCTTATTTCCAGTAATGAGGGTCTTCGGTTCCCTACACTCACCATACGAAACACATCAGTATTAAGCTGTTATTTATTTTACCCTGGTATTCTGTGAGAGTGTGGTCCTTCCCAGTCGACCGATTCGTGCTACAATTATATATATCTTCACAAATAATATACATTTGCAGC